ACATCGCCAGCCCTCATCATTGTGTCTGTACTCCAGCTGCACCATTCCTCTTACCAGTCTGAGAGCAGGACATAGTGATAACACATCGCCTTCCTCTTTTCCATCTAGTAAACCACTTATCTTTCCTCGAAACCTAGCTCAGATGTCATTTCCTTTGTTCCCCATTCCTCAACCCCATCCCCAGTTTGTCCTTTCTGGGTGCTCCCACAGAACTCTTGTAACAGATAACACTTCAGCCATGCTGTGCTCTCTTTTTCTTGATTCTGTCTCCCTAGAGATCTCTTCAAAAGTAGGCTCTGTGATTTGTTTATGTTTTTATTCCCAGCACCAGAACCGTCTCTGAACCAGAATATTGGTACATAATTGTTGAATGAGTTTTCAAGAACCGGAGTTAATCTTGGTTTGGTTCTTTGTTTATCCTTTAATTTAACCAATGCTTACCAAATACCCAGCATACTCCACAAATATTATTAAGCTTTTGCTCTGTACTAGGCACTCTACTAGTTGTGTCTGAGTTAGTGGTGAAGACAGACGGGAGCCTTGCCCTTGAGTGCAGTTACAGTACAGCACTCATTTGCTATAAAGGGACAGGGGCAGGGTGGGGGGGGGGAGGGGGACAGACACCTGACCCAGAGTAGGCTGGAGGGTGGGACAGGGTGGGTTTCCCAGAGGGTAAAATCAAGCCAAATTCCAAGGTATTTGAGGATGTATTATTAGGAGCTGGCCACTTAAGAAGAGAATGGGGACTTGCACTTTTATTTTTCCTCCCTGGAGTTTTCATACCACTTCAAATATATTTCAAGAAAATCCTCAGCAGTGCCTGGAGGAATGGTAAGCAGGAAGAGGCAGGAGGCACTCTGGTTCCCTCAGGTATCGCCTTTCCTTTGAAACCTTTTCCCAGGACTTCACCATCACAGTTCAGCATTCTGGGCATTCTCTGCTGAGGTTTGCCTTTTATAGGGGAGCAGGTCAAGTAGGTAAATTGTCAAGCCCTTTCCCAAGACCCACCTGGGCTCCCTGAGTTTCCCATATTGTGGCTGCATCAGTCAGCACAGCAACAGAGGGTTTTCCTTCCTGGAAATATTTTTAGGGGCAAGGAAGTGATTTTCTCCTTCCTTGTATGTCTTTACTATCTTCTTCTCCCTTTACCATCTAGCATGTTCTCTAGAGTTAGATGAATAAGATTCAGGCCCTCCAGAACCTCGTAAGTGCTGCCTCTGCTCTCATCTCTCCTCTCCTCTCTCAGGCTCCTGGAGTCCATGATCCCTGTCAAGATGGTCAACTTCCCCCAGGTGAATGGAGGGTAGCATGACTGGAAGAGCAGGGGGAAAGCACTAGGGAAGAGGGTGGGGTCATCAGGCAAAGCCTGGGAAGGAATAAACGGAAGAGCCATTGTCCCCTCCAGCCTGAATGACTTGGTGTCTTGACAGAAAATCGCAGGTGAGCTCTATGGGCCTCTCATGCTGGTCTTCACGTTGGTTGCCATCCTCCTCCACGGGATGAAGACATCTGACACCATTATCGTAAGCCAGACAGAGGATTTTGGGGGGTGGCTGAACTGAGCAGAAAGCTGCCCGAGGAGGAGCTGGGGGAATGAGTGAGAAGCAGTCCAGAGGACAGCCCTGGGCAAGGCTGGGGTCAGAGGCCTCCCAGGACTAAGTAAAGCCTTCCCTCCACAGCGGGAGGGCACCCTGATGGGCACAGCCATTGGCACCTGCTTTGGCTACTGGCTGGGAGTCTCGTCCTTCATTTACTTCCTCGCCTACCTGTGCAACGCCCAGATCACCATGCTCCAGATGCTGGCACTGCTGGTAAGGAGTCCGGCATGTGGTGGGGAAGGGTGATCTTACAGCAGTAGCCAGGCCTTGGTCTGCGTCTGTCCTGGGGCTCCAGGGCCTGGAATGGGGTAAGCTGGCCAGTGGACCATTTTTTTCTCAGGGTCCCCATGAGGGTCTAAAGGCCAGCCCAACCTGAGAGAAATTTTCGTCACCATCCTCCTCCTTCCTAGGGCTATGGCCTCTTTGGGCACTGCATTGTCCTGTTCATCACCTACAACATCCACCTCCATGCCCTCTTCTACCTCTTCTGGCTGCTGGTGGGGGGACTGTCCACCCTGCGCATGGTAAGCTGGGCAGATTTCCAGGAGCTGGCTGTCCTCCTGGGGAGCTGGGGAAAGCAGCCCAGAGCTCAGGCGGAAGTTCACAAAGGGCTCGGAGGAAGCATGGGGTGATGGGGTGATGGGGGGGTAAGAGCCCGAAGATGGTTCTGCTCTGGGGAGGAGTATCTTCACTCTGCTCACTTTGGAGCCATGCCCTCGGAGCTGTATTCCTGTGGCCCTAGGTGGCCGTGTTGGTGTCACGGACTGTGGGCCCCACACAGCGGCTGCTCCTCTGTGGCACCCTAGCCACCCTGCACATGCTCTTCCTGCTCTATCTGCATTTTGCCTACCACAAGGTGGTGGAGGGTAAGTGACAGGAGGCCTGGTGTGGGGAGCGGGGAGAACAGCTGCTGGGGCAAGGGCCAGCCAGCTCATGCTCACTTCCATCCTTCTTTCAGGGATCCTGGACACACTGGAGGGCCCCAACATCCCGCCCATGCAGAGGGTCCCCAGAGACCTCCCTGCTGCACTCCCTGCTGCTAGGCTTCCAGCCACCTTGCTCAACGCCACAGCCAGGGCTGTCGTGGTCACCCTGCAGTCACACTGACCCCACCTAAAACCCCTTTAACCCAGCTGCAGAGTGAAGGAAGACTAAAGGACAGAACTGATGACATATGTCTCTTTGTTGGGGTCTGCAGCTGCCACCGAACTGTAGCCACTGAAGCACCTCCTTTGACACCCGTCGGGGCTTCTGAAGGGCACAGGGCCGGCAGCCCCCGGCCAGGACTGCAGGGCTCTGCAGCCAGTGCACAAAGTGGGTCAGTGCCTCTGAGGCCCTCCTACCACCTACCCCTTCCTTCCTCTTTATCTCTCCCACATTGTCTTGCTAAATATAGACTTGGTAATTAAAATATTGACATCTGGAACTGCAGCTGCCCTTCCAGTGGTCCTCCCTGCCATTCTACTTCCTGTACACCTTCCCGTTCCTCTGTCAGCGGTCCTAGCGTGATACCTTCCCTTATTTATACCCTCAGGGTGCAAGATGGGACAGGCAGGGTAAAGTTGGGACAGCCCAGGCTACACTGAAGGCAGTGACTGAATATTGAACTTGTCCCTGAATGCAAGGGACATCTGACTCAGAGCAGCAAGGGGACCATAAGTTTGGTGGAGCAGAGTACCCAGCTTGAGTCGGCTCAGCTGCACTCTTGGGACACCAGTGAAGCAGTGACAATTGGACAAAAACTTCCAGACTCTACCCCACGTCTGTCCAAGACCCTTACAGACCTGGCCCCGTGTGTAGGGGTGAGTTTCCCACAGGAGCTCACGCTGGGAGCCAGACCTGGCTTTGCCGGGGTTGTAGTGGGGCCGAGGAACAAAGCTCTCTTCAGTTCTGCCCTTCCTCTTGAAAAGTGCCGGTTACCCTTAAAAACCCGCCACCACCCATCTAATCTGCTCTCTGCTAGTTCACAGGGAATGGAATTTTTGACCTCTCTTCACTACTCTCACATTACTCATTAAAAAGAAAAATTACCCTAGTAAATGTAGGTCAGCATCTTTCCTTCCTATTAAAGGGACTACGAATGATGTGACCTTCATTTGCGGGCTCTGTGAGGCCCCTACACCATCACCCTTGGACAAAGCTCCAACATTACTACCTACACCGTACAGTGTGTCCTTCCGGAAAGCTCCAGCCCACTCCATGGCCTCACCACTACTCCAGGTCACTGGCCCTGGCACGCTGCTTATTTTTGCTACCCCAGTCTCACTGGTACTGACAGCCTCACGCACCTGGGGAAGGGGCGGTTCCAGCAACTTGAAACTACCTGCTCCAGAAAGCTTTTGTGGTTCCCCTGTGCTGAGTAGCTGAGGCCATCTCTACCCGGCCAGGACGCCGGGGCCCACCACTGCGAGGCCGCCATCTTGGCAAGGGACACTCGAGAAGTCCTTGTGGGCTGGAACCTCACGCACACAGTGACTCCCCTCGCACGGGTGGGGCGAAGCCGGGATTAAAGGACCCTAGGTACTTCTAAACACAGGAGGGCGTGCCTAGGATCCAAGCGCAGGCAAGAGGGTCTGGTCGTTAGGAATGGGGAACAACCAGAAAATGGGCAAGAGAACCCGGTCACCTGAGACACCTCCATGTCTCAAGCCTCCATTCCCTTCCCACCCCTGCTGATCGCAGGTCTCAACCCTGATACCTACTTTCTGCCTGTTCTGTACCTCACACTCGGGAAAAGGGCATCCTCACCTCTCCTGAACCACCCAGTGCGCACAAGCTTGGTGGACTCTTTCGGCTTGGCAAGGGAAGGGGTGGAGCGAGCTCCGGTGACGCGGCCGTTACCATGGGAACTTGCCGCCCGCTCCGGCTCAGGAACCAAAGATCCAGTGGCCGCCTGTCGCCCGCTGCCCGCCTGCCGGCTGCCCCTCTTGCCTGCTTTGGGCTCTCCTTGCGGACGAGGTAGGAGAAGCCAGGCTAGAGGAAGGCAGGGAGCAGATGCGGCCTCCGAGCTGGGACCAGTCTCACGCGTCTTAAGCCAAGGCCCCTTCACCGCTACCGCTGCTGCAATCGCGAGGGACGAGTACAAGCGCGGAGCAGCTCCCGGCCGATCAGGGATCCCTCGTCCCGGCCGCCGGCCCAGACGCAGACGGCACGGTCTGCCCCAGCACCAGCACTGCGCGGTCTCAACTTCCCTGGCGACCTCAGCGCCTGCCCCATCCCAGCCGGCTCCGTCTGGGCCCCAGCGCTCTTCGTGGCCGCCACCGCCACCTCTAACGCTGTCTGCGCCTCTGCCGCCGCCTTTGCCCCCCGTTCCGGCCGCGACCCCAGCCCAGGCCCGATCTGAGCCCCAAACCCGCCCACTACCCTGCCAACCTCGCCCGCGGCCCGGGCCCCGGGGGCCCAGCGGTAGGTAGGATGCTGCCCAGCTCCATCCAGATTTCAGGGGAGCCGCTGTCAGGTGCCGAGGTGCGGGACATCTGCCGCGGCCTGCGCGACAACGCTGTGCGCCTACTCTCCCTACGCGGCTGCCGCCTCTGCGACCGCGACTTCGGCCGCATCTGCCGGGCCCTGGCCGGGGCCACGTCCCTGGCGCAGCTCAACCTTAACCTGGGCGTCGTGTCCAGCCCCAGTCGCATCAAGCAGCTGGCGGAGGCGCTGCGGACCAACCGCTCCATCCAGTCCCTCTTGTGAGTGCACTCCCTCGTAAGGGGGTCCCGGACACTGCACCCCTTCTTGCACTCCCTGCCGCCTCCTTTTCCTCCACACACCTTCCTGTACCTCTTTCCACCAGCCTCCCTCTCCCCCGACCCTTACACACACCCCTCCTTCCTCTGCCCATGACTCCACATATCTCTTCTCTCCGGACTTGGCACATGCAGCCCCACCCCAAAGAAGATGGGATACTGACCTCTTCCTGGTGGGGTACGTGTACCTCCCACCTAATCACCAGCATTGACTTATGGGGGCGGCTACTCAGTTCACAAGAAGGAACACTGCCCTGGGGACTAGATCCCTGTCCCTATGTCCTGCCTACTGAGGAATCCTAATCCACACCCCCACTCCTTCTCTGTGCTCTGTCCTGGGTTCCAGTCCCTGCACCAGAAAAGAAAGCGAATTCCCCTTCTACCTGTATTCTTTTAGAATCTAGAATTTTCTTTCTCTCTCTCCAAGGCCTTTCCTCAGTGCTGTGACTGAGTGCCCTCACCACCTCTAGGGCTCACCCCTGTCCCCTCCAGATAGGGCTGATGACTGTGGTAACCGCTGCTCTCTGGTCTCACCCACCAGCCTGCATGGGAGCCCCCTGACAGATGCTGGGCTGGCCTTGCTGAACCCAGCCCTGGCCCTCCACCCTGCCCTTGTGGCTCTGGACCTGGGGGACTGCATGCTGGGTGATGAAGCCATCAACCTCATCTGTGGCCTCCTCCCCCCAGATGGGGCCAAGTCTGGTGAGCAGGGCCCTCCTAAGGGCATGGGCTGGCATAGCCTTGATGAAAAGCTAAATAAATGGAGAAGGCAGGGTCTGTGGCCCATAGCTGAGGGCTCTGACAGTGTGGGTGAGAATGTTTTTAAATCCCCTCAGGAAGGAGAAGGATTAGGGGCAGAGCAGGATGGAGAATCTGGAATCCAGGTCTGGTGGGCAGGGAAGGCAGGGTCTCTGAGGGTACTGGAGGTCTGTGGTGGGGGTGGGGTGCTCCCAGGCACTAGGGACACCCCAGAGACCCAGGGCAGGGTAGGGGTTTAAAGAGGGCCTGACCTTCTCCATCCTGGCTTCTCCTTACGATGTTGCCCAGGTTTGAAGGAGCTAACGCTGAGTGCCAACCCTGGCATCACCCCTAAGGGCTGGAGTCGCCTGGCCATTGCTGTGGCCCACAGCTCACAGGTCCGCGTCCTCAATTTGGACTACAACCCCCTGGGTGAGGCTCAAGAAAATCCCTTAGATTCTCACTACCCCATCCCCATTCAAGAACCTGGGACCATCAGCTGCCACGGTAACCCCCACACTAAGGAAGGGAAGATAGAGGGAGGTCTGGGAGGTAATAGAGGAGCCTCCTGTGTAGATGACCAGGTGATGACCAACAGGTAGGTCGAAGAATCCATCACCACCTGTGGGCCAGGCTTGCTGTATGCATTCACTCACAAATCACAATGTTCCCCTCCTGGCCATCTACCAGTTGTCAGCGTTTCCTGGCCTGGGGGTGGGATCTAAGGTTGATAGGGCAATGGGGAGGCTGTCCGGGTAGACAGATTAGCAGGCCCGTGCATGAACTCAGGTGAGTATGTGTGTGCGTGCTGTCTCCCCAGGTGACCACGTGGCCGGGATGTTGGCTGTAGCTGTGGCTTCCAGTCGAACCTTAGAGGTTCTAGATTTGGAGAGCACAGGGCTCACCAACCAGTCAGCTCAGGTGAGACTTCTTCATGTTTGGAGAAGGCCATGGGTTGCGATGGAAGTTAGTCAGGGTGTCTATGGACATGCCCAAGGGGTGGCAGGTTGGAGTCGGGGAAGCCACATTAACTGTGTTTGTCCTTTTCTGTACTCTCTTCACCCCCAGACCCTGCTGGACATGGTAGAAAATTACCCCACAGCCTTGCGGAGCTTGGTGTTGGCTGAGAACAGCATTAGCCCAGAGCTGCAGCAACAGATCTGTGACCTCCTTTCTGAGGGGGAGGAGGAGGAGGAGGTGCCAGGAGGGCCTGGTGACACCCAGAAACAAGAGAGGGGGCGGGAGCCTGCTGCCCACCAGAGGGGAAGCAGCTCCTGGATGTGCCCTACTGGTAAGAGCCCTGAGGGTTCATTGGAACCAGATCTGAAGAGACTCGGGACCTGGGAGAATGGATGTGGGAAACCTAGGCCACCTTTTTTCTACTTATGGTCCCCATCAGAGGAACAAATGGTAGTCTAAACACCCCTCTATCCTTCCACAGATCCCAGCTCTCAGATGGTGCTAATGACATCAGGACTAGGGGACAGCCTATTAGCTGAGACTGAGATGTGACTCTCCACTTGGGCTTCTGCACATCATTACATTTTCCCCAGGATCAGGCCCTGGGGCTTGGGAGGGAGGGGTTGCCTGGGGCTCTGGCAGCTCATGGCAGTGGGGTGGGAGGCTCTGGAAGCTGTGAATTGCCTTGAACCCAATGGTTCTGGACTTGTTGGCAGCTCTGGCTGCAGCCCGCTGGCTGGGAAGAGATTTTATCAACTCTACAACCTGTGTGGCTGTGGTCACTGGGGGGCTGGCGGTAGGGGAGGAATTGGAACTACCATTAGACACCACTAGGGGGCAGTGCCACCCCACAGCCAGGGAGTTCTCTGATAGCCCCCAAAGGTCTCAGAATGGTCTGGCGCAGGCCTGGGACTTCTAAGAACCTAGGGTTCTGAGGTGATACCTTACACAAGCCCTATAAAGATATAATGAAGGTAAAGAGCTTATCTCCAGGGCTCAGCTGGACCGAACCCTACCTCAGGGGAGACTCGAAGTCCAGTCAAGGTTATTTAAGGTGCAGCCCCTCCCAACTGCCTGAAGCTCTGGGCCCAGGGAAGGCCCAGGCAGGGTTGGGGCAAGGCAGAATCACTAGCAAAGAGTAGGACATCAAAGGAACTGGGAATACTCAAGAATGGAGAAAAAAATGGTCATTAACAAATTAGTCCATACCAGTAAAATAGTTTTAATTTTAAAATAGTCATCAATGTGAAAATTTCCCAAAGCTGGGAGTAACAGTCTAGAGCCAAGGTTGGGAGGGGGGCCAGGCCTCACCTGGAGCCCAGCCTGAGGCCCCGAGTCCCACCCCATACTTGCTTCCAGAGGAAGAGACAGCTGAAGAGAGCCCTGAGTCAGCCCTCTCCCTCGCCCTGGAGGGCCCGCTGGGCCAGGCCCCCTGAAGGCAACAGCTTGTGCAGAGGGTTTGGGGAGGGAGGGAAACAGAAAACAGAAAGGTTAATTGAAAACAGAAATTAGAGGTTACTAATCCCAAAGACACCCCCTCCCCTCCCCCCAAAACCCCCCATGGCTATGGAAGGATGATGGAGGACAAACACCGATGTGATGAACCCTCAGCTCCCCAGAAGCCCAACTGGGGCTGGACTGATTTGAAGAAAGGTCTTGAGCCCAGCTGCATGTTACCTTTGGAGAATAAATATTTTAAGAAAGGGGGAAAACCCATGAGGCAAGCTGGCGGCAGTCAGTCAATGCAGCTGGAAGGCCTGGTGTGACCCACCGCCTGACCCAACCGCACCAGGAACAGAGCTGTGCAGGCCTAGAGGGAGGGAAGTTCAAGGGCCTGGGCTGGGTAGGGGACCTCGCGCCGCAAGGGTACAGGCCCCCCGCAGTCCCAGTGCAGCAGTGGCAGGAAGGCAGGCAGGAGCCCTAGTTGAGCAGGTTCCCCTGCTCCTGGGCCTGGGTCAGGCTGTCCTTGCGGTGTAGGTGGTGTACCCCCATCCTCTTGGGGCTGCGCTGGGGGCGACTGGAGCCGGGGAGTGCCCAGCTCCTGCCCTCGGTGTGGGAAGTACCAGGCCCTTTCTCTGTGCTGCTATCACTGGGCAGCAGGCTCTGTTGTTCTTCCTCGGGGCTGACAGGCAGGTTCAGCTCTTCCTCTTCTTCCTCCCTGGGCAGGCCAGAGTCAGGTTCTGTTGGCAGCAGAAGCCCACTCTCACAGGACGAGGAGGAAGGTGCCTGAACCTCCTCGTCTCTGTCCGTGGAGTTAAGAGCAAAATGGTGCTGCAGCTCCGGCAGCGCATCGTGTCCAAAGGCTGTGCGCTGGGCCGCAGTGGCCGGTGGCGGAATGCGGTCCACAAATGCTCGCTGCCAACTGGCCAGCAGGTCCTCTTCAGAGCTGGCAGAGCTGACAGGAGCACTGAGTGTCAGGGGGGCTGGGCTGGGCCGGTGATGCGGGGAGGCCTGGGCAGAGGCAGGGCTGCTGGACACTGGGCTGGGTCGGACTCGCTCACTCCCCTCCTCCACCAGGCTCAGGGAAATGGCCTGGCGGGTGGCATAAGTGCAGTTGGGCAGGGGGCTGTTGCGGGGGATTCGCACTTTATCCTCAGAGAACTCGATGACCTTTCGGCCGGGATACAGAGGGTGTGGTGGAGACGGGGTGGGGTAGGGGCTCAGCTTCTCCCAGGCTGGCAGAGGCAGGTCATCCTCTGGGGAGCCCCCGGCAGCACTCAGAGAGTGGCACTCCCCATTGGGTTGGGGGATGGGACTGCCAGGGGCAGGGAGGCTGGCTGGGTCACCTGGGGCACCCCCACTCATGTCTACGTGCACAAAGACATCCTCAGCCAAGGGGTGCCCGGCATTGCCTGACTGGGCCGAATTGAGCAGTAAAGACTCTGGCTTCTCCAACACCCGGGCAATGACCGAGGTGGGTACCACAGCCCCTGATGCCAGGCCGGGGGCAGGGCCTGGGCTGGCGGCCTCTTGCTCACTGTGCAGATGTTTCCGAACCATGTCCTGTAGCTCGCAGGGCAGCTGGGGTAAAGAGCAGAAAGGAAGAGACATGCGTGATCCCAACCTAAGACAGGCTGACTCAGGGCGGAAGTCATGGTACCACGCACAAGTGTAAGACTGCTGTGTGTTCAGCGCTTCGCTACACTGAGCCTGCAGCAGGCCGGGGTACAGCCTCACTTCACAGACAGGCTGAGGTTCAGAAGGGGCAAAATAACTTGAGGTTTTGATTAACACTGCCAAGATCTGCACCCGGAACTGGTGTTAAGGCCCACATGTGCTGAAACTTCCTTGTCCCCTATCTTAGCAGTAGCTTCTGCCCAAACCAGACATGGTTTAAGGATCTGTAGTGACTGGAAACCTTGAGAGTGCCTCCAGTCCTCCTGTAGGCCCCACCACCCTTAAGCCTAAGGGTCTTGGGTCTAGAGTTTGCCCCTTGGGGTGGGGGGATCTCTCAATGTTCTTATGGCTGATAGCTCTGGCCACTCCCTCCCTCCTGCAGGGGACCCTGGAGTCTCTCTCTCCCTGTATCTGTTCCAGAAATACCAACAGGGCCAGCTCCAGCCCTAGTGCTAGGCCCTTGACAGCATACAGGACACAACCAGTGACAGAGCTGACTGGCTTGAGAGGAGACAGGGAGGCTATGGGGATGGAGAGAGATGCAGAAACCAGAGTCAGAGGAGTTCCAAAAAGACAACACTGGCATTGTCGGGGTGGGCACAGTACTCACATCAGCAAACTTGTGGTTACGGAAGTGGGATTTGTTGCACTTGAGGAGCTGCACAGCCAGGTTGCAGTCCAACCGGTACCGTTCCTGCAGACACAGACGTGGTTCAGAGCCCAGCCCTGCCCGAGGGAGCAGGGCCAGGCCGGGCCAGAGCAGGCCCCAGGTGAGGAAGGCCCTAGAGGGGCACATACATTGAGCTCCTCCAGCTTGTTGATGGTGTTCTTGGCATCCAGCAGCTTGTTGGTCAGCTCTACAATCTCCCAGTCCAGTGTCTTCCTGTCCATCTCAGCCTTCTTGATCTGAGACACAAGACTCGTGGTGAACCAAGCCGAGGCCCTAGCCAGCCCTTCCACCCCCTCCCAGTCCAGAGACACAGGAAGCCACAGGTGCCAGGGCAGCCAAGGCGGACAGAACAGAGACAGACGACAAACAGAAGGAGACGGAACACCTCTCCTGTTCTCCGGGCTGTGAGGTGGGGGCTCTTTGAGCATGATCTGCTGCCACCTGGGCCTGGCAGTACATGAGCTGCCCATCCCTCGAGGGAGCCTACACACCAGGCAAGGCAGTTTGTACCTGAGAGAAGGTAACTGCAAACCCAGGCGCTAAAGCCTATGTAGGTAGCTGTTTCCAGGATCAGGCTAGGAAGAGGGAGGAGGATCAGGCTAGGAAGAGGGAGGAGGGCGTAGGCTGCGGGGCAGCTGGGGGAGCCTGTGAGATTATTTAGTTGAGCTGAGAGGGAGCTGCAGGCTCAAAAGCAGCTTTCTGATCTTCAGCTCAGGCTGGATCTACAGCCCTCTTCCCCAGAATGGCCTGGGCTTGCAGCCACTGCCGCCAAGCAGCTGTGAGAGTTCACTGGTGACATCAATCACTACCTCTGCCTGCGCCAAGAGCAGGCTCCCAGCTGTCAGCTCCTCCCCCAGGAAGGAGGCACCGAATACTAAATGGGCCTCACATAAGGAAGAGGAAAGGAGTGGGCAGAGAGAAATGACCAGGGCCCCAGCAGTCCCAGATCTCAGCAGAGGAGGAGGCCAGGTCAAGGGAGAAAACACACAAACTCAGACGCAACTGCGAAAATCCAGCTGTGGCTAAGAGAGGCCTGAGAGGAGAGTGCGGCAGCAACGATGGCAGCATGAGGGGGAGACGAGGAGAGAAGAGAAACAGTGTGAGCATTAAGACAGTACCAACTTGCACAGCACACTGTGGTCCCCTCCCCACCACTGCCAACATCCCCTCCCCAAGCCCCAGGGCAGAATGGCATTCCCTTGGCAAGTCCGAGCCCCCCGCTATGCTGTGAGCACAGTGCCAGCCGAACCGCCCCCCTGGACAGATTACCAGCGTGTGCAGCTTGTCCTCCAGCTCCTGATTAGTCCTCTGGGAAGCGGTGTAGCTGTTCTGCAACCTGCAGAGGAATACAAGGCAGACCTCTGGGTCTTGATCCTGTCCCCAGACCCTGTTCAGCTTCTCTTTTGTAAGGGATCTTGGGCAAGTCATTCTCCTCCCCAAACTTCAGCTTTCTCACCAAAATCAGATGATCTCTGAGGCCTCTTCCGGCTAACCCCAATGAACGGGAGATGCACGCATGCGTGTCCTAGCCCCTCATGCCCATACCTACGGAACTTGTCCTTAAATTTGTCCAGCTCCTCACGGCTCTGGCCCAGCTCCAGCTCCAGGCAGTCCTGCCCGATTTCCAGCTCGCGCTCCAGGGCCTCAGTGCGCCTGGTGGCCAAAGCCAGGCGCCTGCGAAGCTCCTCATTCTCCTGCTGCAAGAGCCTGGCAGGGTGAGGAGGGGTCAAGAGCAGAGGGGCATCAGTGATAGGAGGGCCATCCCTGGAGCCCCAGGCTGGTCAGAAAGGAAGGAATAGATGACAGGAAGACAGGCACTGGGGGCAGATTCAGTCAGAGTCTGGGGCCGCAAATTCCACAGGCCTGTTGGACCTAAGAACACAGCCTGGCTTGGGGGGTCAGGGAGGCAAGAGGGGACAGTAGATGGTAGTCCAACCCCCCACTTGTTGGAGAAGAACGAGAGGACAGAATTCCCAGTCTGTCTCTAGTTACAGCCAAGCCAGCTGCCCACCGAGCCCGCAGCAGCTCGTTTCCCCACTACACGATCAGGCTGCTCCATTATTAATCTCTTGGACATCCAGCCCAGCACCGCCCTCCACTCCAGAGGTCTCACGTGGCTGACAGAAAGGGTTCCAGGGAGGCGGCTGGCACAGGAGGGCCAGGAGCTAGGGAAGGGCTCACTGCCAAGAGCAGGCCCTCAGAGCCATCCCCTCCTCAATTCCAGGTTCTCTTGGAGCCTGTGGAACAAACCTCTTTTTCCAAAAGGAATATCCACAGCAAGCCTCCTCCCAGAGTCCCTAAAATACCACCCCCACCCCAACATTTACCTCTACCTAATCCAAGGAAAAGTCCAACTATCCCAACAGCCTTGCCTGGAGCTAAGAGGGGCAGAGTTGAGGCAGGGCAGGCTCTCGGGCAGCAGATACTCACTTCATCCTCTCTCTGTCAGTCAGGGACTCCTGGGCACAAAAGAACAGAAGCCTGAGGCTCAGCTCTAGACCTGGCCTCCTGCCTGCCCACCCTCCAAGAAGCCCTGGAAAGGGCCATTTCTGAAGCCCAAAGACTTTCACTGCAGAACGTGGCTGAGTGAGTGCCCCTGTTCTAGAGATGGAGGCAATCCAGTAATGCCCAGACAGGCCTAGATTACTCTCTCTCATGCCAACCAGAAGATTCAACAACCCCTTCCAGCCCTCACCCTTACACACACCAGCTCCAATCCCTCTCTTAGGCCTAGAGTCAGTTGCAGGTAAGTCTTGGTACCCATGCTACCTCTCCCAGGGATAAGGAGAGTCTCTCAGCTGTTCACAGGATGCTATGAGCCTCACAGGCATGGCAAAGACCTTCCAGAGAAGAAACCGGGCTGAGCTGTAGCAGGGTTCTGGGCTCTGACAACCAGGCCAAAGTGGGGCCTTACAGAGGCTCAGGAGGAACACGGGCACAGGTAAAGGAGAACTGCTGGGTCAATCCTGACAGAGAAGCGAAGAGTCTCATCTTGCTTTTGACCTCCTGCCCCATCCTCCTGAACCCTTTCGTTGATCATGGCCCAAGAGTCAGGGCTCGGCCAGACGCAGAGCAGAAAACGCATGCGCTGGCAAGAGGGAAATGTTAATGGGCCCGCTTCCCCGCTTCAGATGGAACTGACTGCTCCAAACACCAGTCAGGGCCCAAAAATGAGGTGGGCAGCCCAGACCACGGACTCTGGAGCCACTGACACCTAGATTTGATCCTCTTCTATCACACACTGGTTATATTAACTGCACTGAGCCTTAGGGTCCTCATCTCCAAAACCAGGGAAGGCCCCTTGGGTGGTAACTAAGCATGATACCTGGCCTTTTTATTTACTGTTCTCTGAGCTGAAGTGGGTAAACCCTGGCCCCTGTGCCCTGAATCCGACCAGAGCGGCCATGGCTCGCCTGATGCTCAGCATGTGCTGACCGTCTCTCGGGTTCTGAGTGCACTCCACACACTGCAACAAGGTGGGGACCGGGAGCAGGAAGGATAAACCACCGCAGCATCTCTCCCCTCCTGTCAGTAGGCCCAGCAAGGGAGGGTGACCGATGCATTAACGAATGCTGCCCAACCAACACAAAGCTGGAGGAAGGCCGGACTTCTGGGGACAGTGAGGAACAGCTGGTCTGGTGGAATAAGCCGGAGCACCGCCTCCCAACAGCTCCCAGAGGGGCTGTGGGCTGAACGGCTCGCTCCGCCAGGGGAGGACCAGAGTCCCGGGCTCCAGCAGGTTAGTGCCCCTTGGTCTGGTGGGTTGCTCCTTGCAGGAAGAACCATACTGCATGTGTGGGGTCGTCTCTGCTAAGCTACCAAGAAGACTCTGGGGCCCCAGACAGGTGGACGTGTGCCCATGGCGGCCCCTGTGAGCCTACACAGCCCCACCATACTCTCACCCCAATGCTGGGGGCCAGAAGCTATTCATGTGGGAGAAGTCGGCTGGACACCCAGACTCAGGGACCTGCCTCTGCCAGCCAGGGTCGGGGTACCGGCCTTGCTGACCTCCTGCTCCAGCTGGGATCCAGGAACTTCCAGGCGTAGCTCCCGATGTTCGGGTGGTGCCTTACGGTAGGGTTTCTTAGCAGGGGCTGCACTGGTCATTCTGGGAGGTGAGGGCTCCATGACCTGCTAAGGGGAGGCGAAGATGGAGGAACCTCAGAAACAAAGGCAAGAGGCCTCTGGACTAAAGGAAAAGGATGGTAAAAGGGGGCATATGTAGGAGCCGCCAGGCAGGCAGACAGGCTTGGGCATGCTAGGGTCACAAGAAGGGTGGATTCTGGTGTGCCGGCGCCTACGGAGTCGCGAGAGCCCTGCGGGGGTCCAACGGGAATAGCCAGTGGGACAGGCGGGACGCAGGGCCTGCGCACCAGGAAGAGTGCACCACGCGGAAAAGGGCAGAGAGTCTGAGGCAGCCCACCTCTCTCTACTTTGTGGGCTCAGGAGAAAGTCTCGAAGGGGAAACTGCTCTCAATGAATCAGCTTCCTCAACTCCAAATTGGGGTGAAAATAGCACCAGTTTCATAGGGTATTGTGCGATCATATAAAGCAGTCAGAACAGTGCCTAGCACTTAGGAAATGGTTGATGTTAACTTACAAAAATAACCAACCAGAAAGCAAGGGCTTGAGGACATTCAACCAGCCTAGGCTCCTCAGTGGGGGTCTCTGAGCTCAAGAGAGCCCTAAAGGCTGAGCCCCACTAGCCTCCACCACTCTTTCACCAGCCCCCAGCTGAGAGGCGCCACCTGCCTGCCCCCCTCCTGCCAGGCTCCCCAGGAGAGCCACGGGGGGCGGGGTGGCACAGGCCTCACAGAACGTACCGTCTGTCTGTCGGCAACTCGCTCTGTTCCGCTGTCCGGGAGTTAGCCCTCGGCTCTCCACATCCCACGGCCCCTCCACTTCCTCCTCTAGCCAACAGCTTCTGAAACTGGAGAAGGCAAGAAAGTGGAAACCAGGTGTCAGCCGCCTGTCTGTCAGTGCCACAGGCCACCCTGCCCAGTGTGGGACCTGGAAGGCCCCCCAGGGAGAGCCAGGCAGGAAAGCCACGGACGGGGGCTGGGAGAGGACTGAATGCACCGGGTTCCCGATGTCTCCATGAGCACTGCCGTGTGTGGCCGTGTGTGTTCATGGTCTCGGCGTACCCACAGGCCCGATCCAGAAGTAGGTCAGGTCTGTCCTGTCCCCACCCTGCCCCACATCTGTTCTGTGTACCTCCCAGGCCTCTCAGAGTCTAGGAACAACAAAGAGGTTTAGAGAACATGGGTGGCGGAAGAGAATACCAGGGAAAAAGCCTAGCAGAGCTGTAAGATGCTGCTGGAAAGAAAGCTCCTAGCAACGTTTCCAGAAGGAGCCCACAGATTACCTCTGTGCACAGCGGTGGTGAACGAACTCAGATGAGAGGGCCGGGTGCGGCCGAGAAAAACCTAGAAAGGCAGCAGTTTAGAGCAATGATGGTGCTCACACAGGGCAATGACGATCCCCCTCGCCCTCCTCAGACAGTTGGCAGGTGCCCGAAGACATGTCTGGTTGTCACAACAGGAGCGGGTGCTCCTGGCATCTAGTGGGTGGAGGCCAGGGCTGCTGCCAACCAGCCTGTAACGCACAGGGCAGCCCCGACGACAGACACAGCGGCACACAGTGTGATGGAGCCGAAGCTGAGAAAGCCTGGCATAGAAAACTCACGTCTGAGGAGCTGGAACGCCTGGGTTCCAGGCTCAGTGATGCTTCTGACACACCACCGTGTGGCCTTTGCTCCCTAGATACGTCTATTTGTCATCTGCACAGGGTGGCTGCACTGAGTGCCCTGTGTGGTCCCCTCCAGGTTCTTGGGGTTCCAAGCTCTGTCCCCACCTGCAATAAGCTGGGCAACAGCAGGGGGCAGCAGCCACCACAGGGACCAATGGAGACAGTAACCTCAGGTAGCCTTCTGGGCAGAAACAATCTTCCTGCTGCCATCCACCTCAACAGAGCTGGGGGCTGAGGGAAGCCTTACGGGCTAAAGCGTGTGTTCCTGCTGTTGGGACATGCCCTGGCCATGACTCCTGTCACATTCCAGCAGGGCCCGAGGCAGGAAGAATGGTGAGGGGTAGCGAGGGCGGGGAGGCAGGAGTGGCCTCCCTCCTCTGTCTGAACAGTCTGGTCTCTGACTGGGGGTTCTCGGGGACTGGGGTGTGACAGCAGGCACGAGCCGCCAACCTCCGCCCCTCTGACGGTGAGGCAGAACGTGTCCCCACAGGGCACAAGCAGCATGCTGTGTTGGGCTGACTCCCTGTGCAGGAATCCGGGCGGGCCTGAAGGGACAGTACATTCCTGGGGTGTGGGAGCAAACAAGTCACCCCACAGGTTCCCCATGGCTACTCCTCCAGATGGCCCCAGGGTGAACATTCCTACGGTCTAGGGGACAGGCCCAGAAAGCCCCAACCAGCCCGGGTACCTGGGCTCTGACACTCAGGGGGTGGGAGAGGGGGTGTGTATATAAGTTGGAAAAGGGGCAGAGCCAGAGACAAAGGAGTAAGCTTTACAGGTGGCCAGAGACTCTACAACCCCAGGGGAGATTCCCATGCTGGCTGCAGCCTGCTCCCCATCTCTATAGAGAATCCAGGCCCCCGCTCCCCATCTCCTCCCTTTGGCTGAGTGGCCCCCTTCTCCCTGCAGGCCTCTTTGTGTACCCCCCTCTATTCTCAGCTGCTGCTTTTCTTCCCTACCCTATTCCTGCCAATGCCCACACTGTCCTCCAGGCACCAGAACATGTTTGTTTATGGGCAGTGGGTGGACCAGGAGGACACTGACCGCTCAGGTATCTGGTAATTCTACCCGTGAGGACAGTGGCTTCACCTAATGCCCGCAGCTCTCACTCTAATTGCCACACATCCTACAGCTCATCCTGCCTCCCCTGACCTCCAGTCCCCACCCCACAGGCCCACAGGCCCACAGCACACATTCCCAGGGGGTCCACAGTCAGGCAGTCTGGCTTGCTGTGGGCAAACAGTGTGGATGTGGGTGGCAGCGAGAGGGAGGAAATGTAGATGCAAACTCTGGGATGAGGAACGGTGGGGCGATGAGGGGGGCGGTTCTCACACCCAGCCAAAGCCTTCCCTTTTCACTTGTCAGTCATGGGGAGGGGAACCACTCCCAACTGGGGAAGCAGAGGCAATGCCCACCAGGGAGAGAGTCCACAGGGAGCCTGCCATGTCCCCAACACAAGTCCGCAGGAGTCTGTGCCACTCTCTGCCCTATGTCCATAAATACCAGTGCATGTCGGGCCCTTGCTCCAGCTCCTGGGATCTGCTAAGCGCCCCAGATCAGCCCATAGGCACCCACATTCCCAAACTGAACAGGAACAGCATGAGCCTGGCAAGCTGCTGTCCTTGACCAGAAGCACTACCGGGAAGGGCAGACCTGGGCGTGAGAACAATGCTAGGTAGAGACAAAACAGGCAGCAGCTGGACCCCAGGCCTACAAGCTGGAAAAAGATGAAAGGTCAGCTAAAAGGCAGCAGAGCAGACCCTCCTGGAAGCCCAGCTACCATGTTCAGCCTCCACTGGCCACACATCCTCCACCCAGAGGTTCCCAGGTGGCCTTGTGGTGTTCCAGCCCAAGGAGTCGTCCAGCCCTGTGTGGAGAAAAGACCTCCAGGGAAAGCAGCTGGACGTTCACAATGGGCCCTGGACCCTGAGGAATAAGTAAGCTGCCCCTGGGGCGCCTCAGCCTCTTGGTGCCCACCTTCAGGGCACGTTTAAGAAACTGGTCCTCTGGAAGGTCTAGAAATTGACAGGGAAGGATCCCACTCCTCACCTACCCAAGCTTCAAGGAACTGGGGGCAGTCAACTGGGGGTGTGGGGCTACCAGATCACGTGCTGGGTCCGCACTACAAGTGCAGCTGTGCTCTGAGAGAGGGGCCGAGGCCCAGGGTACAACCCCTGGCTGACCCAGTCTGGTCTGAGGCTCCTTGGCCTGGACCTACAGGCACTGTGGAGGGACACACCCAGAGCAGCTGTGACCCCTCCCCATCTCAGGGAGGTGAGGTGAAAAGGAAAAGCAGCTCTCCTCACCCCTCACTGCCCCCCACCAACCCCGCCTTCTCCTTCCTCTTCTGCATAGTACTCATTCTTCACTCACTCAAAATCAGTTTGGAGAAGAGACTCAACCCCATATCTGCTGGAGTGGGGAGTGGGGTGATTAGTTTCCTAATTGCCATGTTGCAATCTGCCAGTTGGTGCAGGCTGCCTGTTGCCGCCTGCCCTGTATTAAATACCTTCTCCCTGATTACAGCCCATGGGGCATGATTAGCTGCCTCCAGAGAACAAAGTCTGCTTTCATTAGAAATGGGACTCGCACGCATAGTGAACCTGCACTGTGAACCTGAACAGCTGAGCAGAGAGCGTAGACAGAGACAGATATAAGGAGAAATGTGCGCCAGAAGTTGGCTGAGCAGTACCCTTGAATCAGAGGACAAAACATTTGCCAAGCATACCTGCTCCTTTCTGTGGATATGAAGTATGTGTGCGTGACCAGGGGCTTCCACAGTGGTCGGGAATCACTGTTGCCAGAGATGGAGTAGCACAAGGAGAAAACTTTTCAGAATCCTCATCCTCTTCAAACCACTACCTTCCTTCTGTGGGTCTGCTGTGCAAACCCACAGCAACAGCAAAAACATTCAAGCTCAAGAGCCAAGGACACCCTCTCAGTTCCTTCTGCCATCTTTTCTGTGGGTTTGCCCAAGGCACAGGGCAAAGTTAAAGGTGCAGGAGAGGAAGGGAGGTCCAAGCATCCCTCTGAGGGTTCAGAGGCCACCTCCTCAACACTAGCCCGGCAAAGAGAAACTGGACTAAATCCAAAATGGGTGTGGTTTTCTGGCTTTTTAAACTTCTGCCTTCCCCCATGGGATGTCTCCTCTAGCTTCCAAGTTCCGCTCTACCACTTCATTCCACTGCCCTGCCCTAGAAAGTCTGAATGCCACCCTACTCACCACACCACCCCTGCTCTCTTCAGGAAAGCACAGCACCAACAGTTTACCTGGGCTCAGGCCATTTCCCATCCTAATGATGTGCCTTTCTGCTCACAGCTGTCACTGAATCAGGCAAGTGGGGCACTTGAGGGGTCAATGAACCCAATCTTCTCAGTCATGAAGGGCCAATACATTACCACCAAAATCATTAAAGCGCTTCTTCATAATGCACTCAAGAAAACTCAGAGTCAGCAATCACTACTGCTTTTGAAGTGACAGGAAAACCAGCCCGTCTTCAGAATACCCCAGCTGTGCTATATGCTGCCTTAATTCTCTTGAAACCCAGCAAGATATAAATAAACAATAAAAATAAATACAGGCCCTTTCTTAAGCCCCTAAGCAACTGTTAAAATATGAATGTCTGATCACAATGGGACCAGTGCCTCCTCAGTGGGAATTGCCCTCAGCTGAAAGCTACTGTCCTCAGCGGTATGTAGTCTCTGAACTCTGCAAGCATGGAGGAAGCTGCACCTCAAGTCCTTGAAATCCAGGCTCTACCTCCAACCAAGGAGCAAACGCACAAACTACCGCCCTGCAAGGCCCGGCCCTGTAACCAGGTGACTCGGCAGGGGCCCCTCTCCACCTGGACTGTCAGTGAACAGCAGAACAGTCCTCCAGCACAGTGAGTGGACCCTACCAGAGCTGTTGGGGCTCAGCCTTCCCACACAACCCCCGGGTGTCCCTCCCACTTGCCGCCAGCCCCCAGTTTCCGGCATGCAGCTGTTCCTGAGATACATGAGCAAAGCCCTCAGCAATCCTGGGCGCGTGGCAGGCAAGCAGCCAGCTGCTCACAGGGTGGGGTCTGGGCAGGCTCTGCTGTGGGCTCATGACTAGGCTGGAAGATGCCAGTCTGTGCCCAGACCAGCCCTGCTGCCCCTCCAACAGCCAAGCCTGCCACTCCTCTGGGCAAGTACAACCTCACCAGCTTGGGACAAGTTGCTTGTGGCCCTGACCTGGCCTTTTGCCTGCTCCAAGCAGAACAGATTGACAGGTTTTCAAAAGCCAATAGGGGTGGGTATTTTTCTGCCACAGAGTAATCCTGAGGACTCAGAACTAGCACTGGTGACCTGGAGTGCTCACCTGGCTCCCCACCTGAGCAAATACCTCAAGTCTATCGCCTGACTTCATCCAAGCAAACACTAGATGGGAATAAAGGGGCTGAAGACTACTGATGATGGTCCTAGCAAACCAAACCTCCCCTCATAAAGGGAGGGCCAGCCCCCATGCCCCCAAGATCATAACCAGCACTTGACAGTAGTCCCCATGCCCGCTCCTAAGCTGGAAAGCTAGAAAAGCAAAGTGAGAGGCAGCCCTGAACTCTGGCTCCCCTCTGGTCTCCTTCGGGTTTCCTGGTTAGGGCCAAGCCACAAACCCCTCCAGCTTGCTCACTCCCTACTCTGAGCCCCTCAATGTCTGACTAGCATCTACCAGTTCCCATATCTACACATTCCCATGCCGAGCAAGAAGACAGCCCCAGTGCCTTGTCCCTCCCAGCCCAACGGCACAGAACCACTGTGACGGCCCGCAGGTTTCAAGCTTCCCTACCCAGACCACCTCATACTGCGCAGCTCCCAGAGACTGGAGACGCAGACGGTCTGTCTAAAGAGTTACCTGTGCAGAACACTGGGGAGCTCCAAGCAACTGGCCTTCCTGTTATTTCCAGAACCCCTTTCTCCTCTCCAACCCTAGAGGGAGACAAGAGTTTGGTGGGAGCTTCTCCATGGCAAGCCGTTCGCCAGCCTCCCAATCTGAGGCCAGAGCCTCTCCTAGGCCCACTGTGGAATCCAAAGCAGGTCCCATTTCCTTGGGCTAAGGTGCCCCTCCCAGCTCTTCTCGGCTAAAGTCCACCGAAGCTCCAGCCGTGGAAGACAGTGGGGGACCAAACTCCGCCCACACGGCTTCCCAGAGTAATAGTCACCAATGGGAGCCACATCTCAGATGGGTACCCAGCTCCGGACTCAATTTCAGTTTAAGTAGCTCCACACTTCTGTCCAGGGAAATTCTCACAACCAGGTTGAGGTTTTCCTCAACCTCCCCAACCCCCCAAAAAACCTTGCAGCGAATTCTAAATGATTAACCTGGAGTGAGAATAATGGGGACACCATTCAATCTTCCCCTCTTGAAAAAGAGAAGAAACTGTTCAGTCTCAAGAAAATTCCCACCTGTCTCTGGGGCATGAAACAGCACACTAACTGAGGGATATTTTCTAACTCCATGGTGATAAAGTCATATTAACAGAAACTACCCAATTCTGCTTTAAGAAAGAATGGGAAGGGCCCTGGGTGGTGTGGTTCAGTGGACTGAGTACTGGCCTGTGAACCAAAGGGTCACTGGTTTGATTCCTGGTCAGGGCACATGCCTGGGTTGTGGGCCAGGTCCCAAGTATGGGGCACGTGAGAGGTCTCTCCCTTTTTCTCCCTCCCTTCCCCTCTAAAAAGAAATACATAAAAATCTAGAAAAAAGAAAGAATGGGAAAGCATGGTACTGACTGAGGGGAGGCCAAGTCCAGCAGCAGGCTGGCAGATGCACAGGTGGCCCTCCTCTCCTGGCCACGAAGGGGGTACATCCCCACCCAGAAAAAGGAGACTGGGAAGATGGAGGGAACCCAGTTGTAAGGACCCCAGAGCAGAGGAGATGGCATGAGGTAATCCAGGGGAAGGAGGCAGCCAAGCTGTGGGGAGGGAGCGAGGACAGGGGCACTGCTGGTGGTATTCCTAGGGCAGGTTAGCTGGCCCAGGTCAGACTCACAGGGTTAGTGTCTTCTCCCCAACCAGCCAGCTCTCCTGGTTAGCATGGTTAGTGACAGACTCATGGCAGACACCCTCCAGGCACTCCATATAAACAGACAGCTGGCTCTGTGAGCAGCCCAACTCCCAACTCCGGAGCTGCAAAGAGAGAACAGAAGGAACGCCAGGCTGCAGATGACCAGGGCACACACCGCACTCCCCTGACAGGGAAAGCTCCTCCGGACTTAGCGCTAGACCCTCAGGGGCTTCCTCCCACCCAGAAACCATGCCAGGCAGAGGGGTAGCACTCCCCTGCCACCCAGGGAGTCCATCTCACTGGTCAAGGCTCTTTGGCTGGTCAGCTGTTGCAAAAAGGTCACTGCTTGTAGGGGGATGGGGGCTGCTCCTATCTTGTCCATTCCCCCAACACTGATGCAAGGCTACACCAGAGCGCTGAAAGCTCTGTTAGAGCTTTTTTCTTAAGAACAAAGCCACCCACAGCTGCAGCTGCTACCCACCCCATGCCTGTGCTAGCAGAGTCTACCCCACCACCTCCCACTGGCTCTGAGGAAAGGGGCCGGGAGAGAACTTGCCTAGGGATCAGACACTGCAACAAGAGCTGCATGGAAAGCACAGTACAATGGGGCTGTGTGTGAGGCGGCCCAGCTCTGGGCCAGTCAAGAGAAGGGCGGCACACTGCCACCTTTCAGTTTTGGAAAGGGCCGGGGGATAGCTCTTCCCAGGGAGCTGGTCCCAGAGGATCCTACAGAGCAAGGATAAAGGCTGTGCTATAGCCAGGCTCCCCACACTCCAACAGGGACTAGTCCACTCTCTCAGAATGAGCAATGGCCTGAAAGGCAAGCATTCTCTTTATAGCAAGCCCAGAACCACCCAAAGGGAAGTCAGAGGCCCTGGCCTACAGATCTCCGGGCCAATGTAGCAATGACAGTAGAGCCCCAGAGGCCCCACAAGAAGCAACCCCTGGGGCAGCAGGATAGGAAAACTTCAGCAAATGTATCCACAAATATTGCCTGTGCTTAAAAGAGAAAGACGTGTTGTCAAGGGAAAAAAAAAAAAAACAAAACAAAACAGGGAGGGATTCCCCCTTCTGTCTGGGTAGCACGGCAGATGCTGAGATGACTTGGGGTGGAAAGGGGAGAATAGTGACCACCCTGACTCCTCTCCCAAGCCCAGGTTAATGATTAACACAGGCATGAAAAGCCTCCAGTAGGCTTCCAACTGCCTACTCACTGGGTTCCCTCTATTGCTGTGACAACTGCCCCAGAGCTCCAAAGGCCAAGGCCCAACCACGGAGGGTGAGATAACCATCTAGAGGACAAAGAACGCTTGCTGTGGGCTCTGACCTGTTCCCTGGACTGACAGGAAAGCATGGCCATGGACAGGCCACCTTCAGAATCCTCACCCACAAAATACTACTAAGAATAAGAATAACAATAATCAGCACCAGCTGGGTTGGTCTGATTTGCTTTCAAAAGGTAGAGTAGCAAGTGACCTGGCTAATCCAAGGTTTCAGAAACCAGGGACTCTCTCTGCAATGAAACAGAAGTTCAAAAATCAGGTAATTTTACTCTCTTCCCAGCCAAAAAAGACAGTGCACTGAGGGGAGAAACAAGCATAAGATAAAGTGTTGATGCCCACATGATGCTTATATCCATTCTGAATCCCACTCAAAGGCGCTCCTGTGCACAATTTCAGCTCAGAATGAAAAACAGTCCCTCAGAGATAACCAGAGGGCCGCTGCGCCCAGAACCTGCAGTAAAGGCTCTCCACCCCTCCCAACGAGCTAGCCAGCACCAAAGGGAAGCCCCAAGCTGGGAGGAGGGCTACGACCAGGCTCCTCAAAGGTTCCAATAGGTACTACTCAACCCTAAGTGACTTACTAGGTGAACAGAACAAACTGAAGAACAGTATGTATTATTATTGAGTTTTGTTTATTTTATAAGTAATACCTTATTAGGACTGTCTGGAAGGATACAAAATGATTAGAAGGATATGTGATAAATGGTTAACAGTTGTTAGAACTAGTTCCTTATCTTTGGGGAATGGGCTTACAAAGGGGCAATGGGGAGGGTTTTCTTACTTTTTATCTTGTATATTTTTCTGTATGGTTGGTAATTTATACAAGGACACACGTTTATGACAAAAACATACAACTCCTAGACAAACAGACAAAAGTCCTCCGTCTGCACTGTGCTTTCCCATTCCGGAACAGCTCTCCCTCCCACTGTGTCCTTTGATCCTTGCAGCCTTATGAGGCCCACAGAACAGGTGGAGCTCCCCCATTCTGAAGTGACAGAGAGGGTAAGAGGCTTGCCTAAGACTGCAGACTGGGGCAGAGCCCTCTGTTTACAACTCCAGTGCAAAGCATGGAAAGCAGTCATCTCTAGGGAGCCACAGAAAAACCATGACAGTTCTGTCCTTTATGGATTCCAAATGTCACCGAGAGCAGGCAGTTAACACTTTTGAGATAGTAACTAACAAAGAAGAGGCCCCACTCTTCTACTCATGGCCAGTCCAGGACACTCAGTCCCTTTGAAGCCTAAAAATACACACCACAATCCAGTCCAGGTGGCTCACCCAATCTGCTTAACACACAACGTAGCTTATCACTCCCGCCGAGATGCGCTCAGTGAAGATGTGCCACATCACGTTTAGCTATTTGTTTCAGCCTTCTGACTGTCCAGGCATCATGAGGTTGTAGTAGGACCCGGATGTGAGCTTGGAGCACACTGAGGTAGGAGTAGAGATAGGACCAGAAACGTAAGAAGGATACAGGGGCACTAAAAGAAGCTTAATGAATAACAAAAAGGACGCCAGCAGCCAAAGACTTCTAGATGCTAATTCAGCAAGAAAATATACCAGCGGCCCTGGCCAGTGTAGCTCAGTTGGATGAAACGCCATCCTCATCCCGTAAACTGAAAGGTCGCAAGTTTGATTTCAGGTTGGGGCAGAGGCTACAGGTTCAGTCCCATCAGGGCACAGAGAAGTGAGAACCAATCGATGTCTCCCCCCGGCACCACCCCCGTTCCCCTCCCTTCCCCTCTCTCTAAAATCAGTGTGTCCTCAGGTGAGGATTAAAAAAAAGAAAATATACTGGTGTGTTTCACCTCCTCTTTTAACCTGTTCTGCTGGCTGAGGGACGACCGTTGAAATAAAAAGGCTGAAAAGGGAGACAGCTGAAGCCAAGCACCTGGAGGACCACATAACCACATTAACTCAACCCTGAAAAACAGTTAGCAATGCTATTGTTAATACTATAATCTTTTGTTTACGCAGGACTTTTCTTCGTAAGCAGTTCAAAAGGTCGTGCCAGATAAGCCCTATTCGCTTTAGTCTCCCTGAGGAAGGACTGAGTGGGGCCGCAGGGCACCCAGACCTTGGGCACCTACTGGGGCACTTGGCCGTACACAGTGCTCTCCCATGTGTACTGCACATGAACATTTTTGGCCCAAACTTTCAGGAAAATAATCTTTTGTTTAACTGATTCAATTATTTATATTTAGATACTTGTTTTTGTATTATAAAGGAATTTTAGCATTTATTTTTTTAACGTATTATGGTACAAGAAATGTTATGTAACAAGTAATAAAACACAAGAACAGATACAAGCTATTTTGGGTACTACCCATGTACAATGCACATTCTTATTTTTCCCTCAAAAATTTGGGCACAAAAGTGCACATTATATGCATCAAATTATGGTATGTAGGGCCTAAATGCCTTCAGTAAAAGACCCTGGCCCTGAGAAGCTTCAGAGATAGAAGACCTTGCCCCTAGTGGGAGAGGGGCAGGTTAAGAACCACTTGCATTAGAGTGTGGTGAGGGCTTTGAGGGCTCAGAAGAGAGGTGCCTGGCTGGGGCAGGGGTTCAAGGACCAGACAAGAAGCCTACCCTCCTGAGAAGCCTTTTTTTTAAATTACAAAATCATAAGCATGTAATTCTGTAACATAACAATATCACACTCAAGTACATCATATGACATTTCAGGTGAAACGTTCAAATTAAAACTACAACTTATCACACCCATATTATTACCCTACAAACCCCACTCAAGTAGGCGTTACTTCTGCTGGACGCTGTATATTTCTTATTGTATCATAGTATCACAGTAGAGTAAGTTCCAAGCAATCTAATGATAAGTTTTGAAGAAAGGCTGATGAATTAAAGAATTTTTCTTCTAAAAGACTGAAGACCACAGGAATATCTGAATACAATTCCTTAAGATAAGATTTCTTAAAAGAAAAAAGAAAAAGCATTTATCTTCTGAACTAAACATAGTACTTGAGCTAATGTTTGTTATGCAGTATTTGCAGTACTTATTATTTCATCAACGTTTTAATTCATTTGTAATGAAGTTTTATATTTACTATTCACACAAAATAAAACAAGGGCAGAAGTCTGATCTGAAGAGAACACTGAACACATCTGCACACCGCGACCCCTCTGGGTCCATGCCCGCGAAGAAGCTTCGGAGGGCGGCCTGCTCTACCTGCCTGGGACCCGCAGGATGAGGAGCAGGGAGCCCCCCTCAGAGCAGGCTTGTTTCTCAGCCTTATAAAGACTTTAACAGAAAGTAAAGGAAGCTAGCGACAAACTACTACCCTCTATCCCCTCTTCCAACTTCTTCCTCACTTGCTCTTTCTTCTTCCTTATTTTTTGCTTCTTATCCATCACTCTTCACTCTGCTTTTTTCTTTTCTCTTATCATCTTTCCACCCATTTTCATTTTCTTCTCTTCTTCTGTCCTTCACAATTCTCCTTTTCCAGTTTTTTCCTTCTTAGTCTCTGCTTCTTCCTACCCAAACTTCCTCCTTTTTCCCATTTTATTTTCATATCTCCCTCATTTGATTTTAAACTCACCCTGGAGTATCACTTGGCATTATACAATTAAGAAGTCTAGACTTCTGGAAACAACTTCCCTTGGTGTCTGTTGAGAACTGGTGCCCTAAGAATTAACCCCACCAACTACATGAAAAATAAAAAGGCAGAGAGGACAGCAACTCTCTCAGCTACCAGTCTGATTTCTGGGGAGCATCTGAGTTAAGCCAGTTCTGTGGCACAAGAAGACCATCAAAACCTCAATGTCAAGGGTAGGTAACTCAGCTGGTTACAGCGTTGTCCTGATACGCCAAGGTTGAGGGTTCAATCCCCTATTGAGTACATACAAAAATCAACCAATGAATGCATAAATAAGTAGAACAATAATAACAAAAAAGCCCTAAGAAAACTGGGCCCCCCAAAATCTGGCTTCCTCAGAGCCTAGCTGTGTTCTACCTGCTTTAGCCAACACTTTTCAGTTCATAAAACACCAGGAGAAAAAAGACATGGATCCTCAAACACGCCATCCAGTCATCCACAGCCATAACTACATCACAAATCCACCACCTACCCACCCCCACCTGTACTCACCAAAGTCACCAAGAATCCTGAATGCATGTCATGACCCATCAAAGGAATCATTACAACACAAGAATGTGGGAAGCATCAACGATCTTACTTTGCACAGGCTACCCACAGACAGTGTCCCCAACCTCACCTTTTTTATTGCTTCATCACAAGAAAGGAGACTCTCAATTTTACTCCCACCTCAAAAATGCTCCTGGCTACCTGGCAGAAAGCAAAAGGCTTATTCTAGCTTGAATAAAACAAAGCCTTTTCTTATACACTGAGTTTTTCAAAATGGAATTCATTCATTTAACAAATATTTACGGAGTATCTTTCACATGCCAGGCACCATGCAATATGCTGTAAACTTACTTTCTCTAATGCTCAACATTCCTGCAAAAAACAAATCATATCATACTTTATAAGGTATGAGACCAAGGGTCATACTGGTTAAACACTTTCCTAAGTCCCATAACTGGTAAGGGGTGAGTCTGGATTTAAATCAGGTCTGCCTAGCTCCAAAATCAGACTCTAATACACTGCTTACCTTACTCCCAACTCTCCACACACCCCCATACTCCCAGTCTTCCCTACCTACCCACCCCCACCCTGGGACCAGGGAGGGTCCGTCCTCTAGAAGGGGTTGGCTCAGTGAAAGAGATGGACAAGTCAACAGAGAACTCACCATACAACTGTATAAGGTAAGTGCCAGGACAGAGGCTCAAACACAGTGCTGAAGGGGCCAAGAGGAGGAAAGGAAAGCAGGGAAGTCTTCTCGTGAGAGATGACAGAGGACCTGGGTCTTAGGAATGGGCAGAGCTTCAGAGACATGGTAAGCATCATGTAGCGAGTACAGTGCACAAGCAAAGAAGAATAAAGTACATGGACAGCCACAACAGGTTCAGGAGCAGCAGGAAATTTAGAAGCAATGAAGAACAGGACAGATGAAGCGGAGCAGCAGCAACTCAGGTAACAGGGTTGGGTTTGGGCAGGAGTGTAAAGAACTGTTTTTGCATGCCTGGCCCAAGAGGATGGCCTTTCTCCTGAAAAAGTGGAACCCATGGCACTTCTAAGGGAAGAGACATCTCTTTTTTTTTAATAGAAAAATAACTTCAGCAAAGATGGAATGGAGTGGGGCAAGACTGCCCATCACACTTCATTCGCTCTACATGCACCACAGCATTATAAAGCACCTATTATGTGCCCTGCACTATCCTAAATAGGAAAACACAATAATGAATAAAATAGTCTCTTTTCTCAGGGCACTTATAGTCTTGTAAGAGTCAGACAAGTAAATAGGCAATTACAATATAGGATAAGGGTTAAAATAGAAGCACAGAAAAAAGGCAGTTAAGGGGGGGGGGTCCCAAAGGAAGTGACATTTAAACTGAGATGTGAAGGACAAAAAGAAAAGTAAGGGAAGAAGGGGAATGCATTCCAAACAGCAGGACCAGCACACCTGCAGATGCCCAAAGCTAGTATGAGCTGAGTTCAGAGCACTGTTCAGAGGCTGAATCCGGGTGAGAAAGGAAGGCCTAGTTTACTGAAGGGTCCCTGGCACCCAAATTGTGGTAGAAAGGATGCAAAGGGATTAGATTCAAAGCTAATACATAACAAGGGGTATTGTGAAAAGAAACTGATTTAGACAACTAAAAGAAAACAGTAAAGAGGGAGAATCAGCTCGAAATCCACCTGACTTCACCCTGCAGTTTAATCATTTGCTAAAATGTGACCCGAATCAACAAAGTCTGAGGACTTCTACCAAAACAGAAAGATGCACTCTACAGAGGTAACATGTCTCAGCACGCTGCCTGCAGCACAAGATAAAGCGCACCCTCCAGCGATGTGTGGCTCCCAAGTTAATGGAGGGGGGCAGCAGAGACCCACAAAATCATGTGCGCCACGACCAAAAGAAAAGTTCCTCATGAAGCTGGGTAGCAATTCCCAGGGAAAGCCCTAATTCCTGAACCCCCAATCCCCTGAAATCTGGTTAGACACCAGGCGTGTGCCTACTCTGACAGCAGGGTGGAGAGTCATTTACTAAAGAAAAAGATGGGCCCTGAGGGTGAGTTAAAAGACAGGACGTGACTCAGAAAGAGGGGAAGAATGAGTCTTAAATACTCTCCACCCCCCTCAAAAAAAAGAAAAAAAGAAGAGGGCAGAGGAAAGCCAGTCTATCAGACTGGGGCACACCTGTGCCCCCAGGTGGCACAAAGGCCTCCTGCCTGACTACAGGAAAAAAGACGAGCGCTGAGCCGCGGTCTTCCTCGGCAACGCAAGCCTCAGCAGAGGCACGTTCATTTTCCATTTTCTTTTTAAGATGGGAGGAAGGAACTATTTAAAATGCCATATTTTTTTTCCTGTATAGTTTGCTACTATTTTTAAAAGAAAGATGCATCCAGACTGTCCATGAATTTAACACGATGGCTGCTTCACCTGCTCATGTAAGCAAAGTCAGAAATGAGCGTTACATTAACGTGTACATTAATACACACACACACACACACACACACACACACACACACTCCATTAAGCCATGCTTAGAGCGGTTCCTAATGTTAGTCTGCTCACCCAACCCAGAGCCCAGGTTTTCCAAAGGCCAAGTCAAATCATGAAGAGAGTCCAAATGTGGCTAACATGGCACAGAGGTCTCTATCACCACAGTCCCAGCATGGTTATTATTTCTAAGAGGAAGGAGACAGCTGTGATGAAGAGATCAGTTTCTAAAACATTTTTTAGAAAGATTTTATTTCTTTATTTTTAGAGAGAGTGGAAGGGAGAAAGAAAAAGAGGCAGAGAAACATCGATGTGTGTGAGAAACACTGATGATTGATGGGTTGCCTCTCAGGTCGCAACCCAGGCATGTGCCCTGACTGGGAATCGCATAGGCGACCTTTCGGATTGCAGGCTGGCACACAATCCACTGAGCCACACCAGCCAGGGCTAAAACTTTTTTTAATAATCAAAAAATTTTACTACAGTATGGGTATACATCTAACCATCATTTCCAAAGAGATACAAACAGCCACTAGGCATATTTAATAGTTATCTTTATACTAGATCCCAAAAAAGGCAGTCAATTGCCAAGCCAGATTGCCTGGTATCAAATCCCAGATCTGCCACTTACTAGCGTGGAGACCTTGAGCAAATTCCTTAACCATTTACACCTCTATTTACTCATCTGTAAAATGGGAATAGCAGTATCTAGTTCATAGGGTTGTTATAAAAATTAGTTAATACATTTAAAGCACTCACAAAAGTGCCAGGCACATAAAATGTGCTCAGTAAGCACTATTATTATTATAATCACTCAAATGCAAAGAAGATAATTCTACAGCTTCAAAGCTTCAGCAGGAAATCATTGGCATTTTAACATTACTTTAAATAGAATGAAAAGCTGTACTTCCCATCTCTAACATTAGGATAGCAGCCCAAACAAGTTCAGGTCCTCCATAGAGAGACTACAAGTTCGATCATGAAGCAGAAATTAGTGCTGAGATCTAACATAAAAACAACAAATACACATTGAGGGTCAGGTACTGTTCTAAATGCATTAATGTATTAACTTATTTAACCCTCATAACAACCCTATGAGATAGATACTCTTACCAAACCCATTTGGTTGATGAAAAAGCTGAGCCACAGAGCACAATGTAATATCTAAAGGTCACAGAGCTACAAATGGCAAAGCCAGGACGTGAACTACGCACTCTGGCTCCCAAGTCAGTGTTCTTAACCTGTACATGCACTCACCATACTGTCCTAGCTGATGACAATTTCCAAGAGGGCATCCACAAAGTGTCCTCAGATAGAAAAGGTTCCTAACCCTCTAATGGATCACAACTAAATAGTTTCAGTGCTTCAGGTACCTGAAGGTATTGAAGCTGGCCTAGTAACAGAGATTTGCATTGGCCTGTCTGGAGTCAGACATTTTGGGGGTGGAGGTGGGGAGTAGGAGCAGGGAGCAGGAGATGGTTAGTGAGGTGTCCTAAACCAAACCTGACTTCCCTGTCCAGTCACAGAGCAGACGTCGTTCCTGAAACAGGCTTCGGTAAGAAGCCTATTTCCACCTCTGGCTTGGGTATAAGAACAGGGCATCAGAGAAAGTGAGAACCATATTCACTGCATTCTGTGGCTCCAGACCCCTTTCTTTTTCTCCAACCCAAAGTCCCCTATCTCTAAAGCCATGCTTGGTTTGGCTAATAACCTGAGTTTTTTTAAAATGTGGTCTGATGAGAATATGAAAGAGAAACAAGCTACCAGAAGAGAAAAGGGCAAGTTCTACAGTCCTTTGCTTCCATCACCACATTGGTCCACACTGTAAAGCAGTTCTCAGATAGTGGGGGTCTCAAGGGTTATGTAATAAACATTCCTAGAGCTTTACACCAGTCAGTCTGACTTCTTATCATAAATCGACATGGATTTTTTTAAAGATTTTATTTATTTTATTTTTAAGATTTTTAAGATTTTATTTATTTTATTTTTAGAGAGGGAAGGGAGGGAGAAAGAGAGAGAGAGAAACATCAATGTGCAGTTGCTGGGGGCCGTGGCCTGCAACCCAGGCATGTACCCTGACTGGGAATCGAACCTGCGATACTTTGGTTCGCAGCCCGCACTCGATCCACTGAACTACGCCAGCCAGGGCCATAAATCGACATGGATTTTGTCTCCCTAATCCCAAACTGCCTTTCTTCCTGCTCTGATCCGACCTATCACCAAATCCACATCCCCAAGAACACTAATAAGCCCTTCTTACCAAAAGAAAAGCTCAAAATAAGTAGAAATGCTACAAGAGTGAATTCAGGAGTTGGTGACAGTAGGCACTTAAATGGTCAGTGAATACCATCAGAAATTTGTTTTCTCCTGCCTCCCCACCATTTGTCACCCACAAATCTCCACTTCAGGCAGGATGCCAAACTGCAACTGTGATTGGAAGACTGAAGAAGATACAGTGAACATGTAGGAAACTGCTTGTGACAGGGAAGTGTTAAAAAATTTTCAGCCTGATCCCTAGGCCCTTGCCCATGTTCGCTTGCATGGTTGAAGGTATACAAGGCTCAATTCTACAACCAACTCTCAAAAATCACCATGCAATCTAAGCAGAACACTAATTTAGGGACCACAGGCAAAGAGCAACCTCTATAAAAGAGCGCCCTCCTCAGATTAAATGATTCTCAGCATCATTCAGAGCCCATGAATCCTGCTTCAGAGGTGCATGACAGCCTGTCACCAGAGGCCACCTTACCTGCTCTGGGGTTGGGCTTGGGCTTGGGCAAGTTGCTACCTCTTTGTCCAGGCAGGCACTGTGATTCTTCCAGTCCCTGGGGCCCCAGGGTCTTCAGCTTAAATTGGGGCAGATGCTTCTATAAGAACTGTGGAAAGGCTGATTTAAGTGTGGAAGAGGTTCATTTGACTGGCTTTAGTTCCTTCCTTACCAAACCTACCCATCATACCCCAGGTTTCTCTTTCCGCTTCCCCACTATGCTCGTCCACCGGAAAGACCCCACTACTCTCCCACCTACCTGCCTGGTACAGTCGGACCCCGGCCACAAGCTCCAGGCTTCTTTAATCTCAGTTAAAAAAAAATTCCCCTCCAATTCGTGACTCGGCTTCTCCAGAGCCTGCACATCTACTTCTGGTACCCTGCCCTGGACCCCTCCCCCAAGGCTGCCATTAGATCCTAGGGCCCCTCCCTTCGTACCCACTCTCCCTCTTTTTCTTTCTGCCCTGAACCTTCCCCCATTCCACTTCCTTTTCTCAACTCCGGAACTAGACCCTCCTCCGCCCCTACTCCATGCTTGTGTTCCCACGATTTCCTCCCCAAACCCCAGCCTCCCCGCCGACTACTCCCATCCCACAACAAACTTTCTTCCGCTGCCCGGTGCCTTCAAAACGCCATCTTGTCGCGGGGCAGGCCGGGTAGTGGCCACCGCACGGGAATCCCCACGCACTAGGCGCCGTGCGTCACCGGGGGCGTGGTAATGGGGCGTGGCCTCATGCTGGGCGCCGGGTGATGGGGAAAGATGGGTATATCCTAAGAGCGAGAGTTGGAGGCCTGGCCGCTGGAGCGGGAAGGAGGTGCAGGAGTAAGGCGATAGCGGGAAGGATGGGGAAAGACTCTGGTACTCAAAAAAACAAAAAAGAATAGAGGAAAACAGCATAAAAGTATGCTGGGAAAGTCTTAGCACTAGTTCCCCATCATCCAAAGAAGAAAAGTAGCTTCTCAGATTGTCACGCAGAGATCCGCAGAATCCAGCCTCTTTCACGTTCACCAGCCTAATTTTCCACTTCTTCCGGGGACTACAGGTTCCCAATTGTCCAGTGTATTCATTCAGGTCTTAAAATGCCCAAGCCCTCTTCTCCTTCAGCCCTCAGCCCAAACTGTCACCTCCTCCAGAAATCCTTCTCCAATCCCCCTGCATTTGGTGCTCCTTTTGCACTTGCACATAACTTCATTGTAGCTAACTTGTGCTGTACATGCTGTATCCCTTACTAAGCTGACGCTTCCACAAGGCAGACTGTCTGATTGCATCTTCATATTCCCCATTTCCCAGCAGGTGCCTGGCACACAGCAATTGCTTAACGAATATATAGCATGGCATCCTCTAATGCACTAGGCATAATTCTGCCTCTGGGCTTTTAGCTTTGTTCTTCCCTGTGCCTAGAATGTTATTCCTCCAGATATTCACTCCCATGCATGACTCTGCTCATATAGAGCCTTCCCTGGCCACTCTATCTAAAGCAGCATCCTCAGCCACTCTTTCTTACCTTGCCTTAATTTTTTTGTTTCATAGCACTTATTGTTATCTGACATATTAAATATGTCTTTGTTTTTTGACCATCTTCCACTATAATGCAAACCCCATAGGTCTGGGACATTTTCTCACTCATCACTGTAGCCCCAGTGTCTAAAACAATTCCTAGTATAGTAGGTGTTCAAGAAATGTTTATTGAATTAGTAAATATCATGGAGGTTATTGGTAGAGGGATTTTGGAATATAGAAGTAGGGAGGAGAGGTTAAGAATACTACAAAATAGGCCAGGTAGCTCAGTTGGTTAGAGTGGTGTCTGGATACACCAAGGTTGTGGCCTTGTTCTCTGGTCAGGGCATATGCAAGAGTCGATGAATGAATGAATGAATAAGTGGACCAAAAAACTGATGTCTTTGTCTCTGTCTCTATCTGCCTGTCTCTCTCAAAAATCAGGAAGAAAAAAACCACCCAAACAAAGAAAGAAATACTACAGAATAAAATGTATTATAGGCCCTCAAGATGAGACTTGGCCCTATCAGTAATGGTAGCAAAGACAGAACCCAGGCTCAGAAAAGAAAGGGGTGGAATGAGAGCCAGGTGGAACTCGGGAGGTGGGTCCTCAGGGAGCAGAGTCCTCCTGGGAAAGCCACAGTTTAGGTAGAGGAAATGGCATGGGCTGGAGGCCCAGGAGTTTACTCAGGTCTAAAGACAGCATCCACCCCGAGCCCTGGCCTCTCTTGCCCAGATGGTTCCGGAGGTGCCTCAGCATCTGTTCCTCTGTAAATTATCCAGTGCTCCCTCCTGCCTGTCCTCTCTGGTGACAGCCGGAACAATTGTCCAGGAATTCCATCTGTTCCCCTGTCCTTCTTCCTTCCACTGCTCATGAACATTTCAGAGCGGAGAGGTGTCCCATTTCCCTGGGCCAAGGGAATAGGAGATGGGTCTGTCCCTTGATAGAGCTGGCCTCAAGAACTCATTCCACCAACACACACAAAACCTTTGCAGAGACTCCCAGGTCCCCAGAGAGACAGGTCAGTCATCTTTATTGCACATCCTGTCCATGCTTTCAATCTCATATGACTTTTTATTATTGTTAATTCAATAAAATTTCACTAAACAAAGCAATCATACTGGTTCTTGCAGAGCTTAAAATAAGGGTTCCTAATCATTATACATATCTGTATGGTTCCCCTTAATTTGCCAGTACAATACTTTTAAAATGTGACATTCATTGTGATAAAAGACCACAAATTCAGCCTTGACTGGTGTGGCCGAGTGGGTTGGGCGTTATCCTGAAGACCCAAAGGTTGCTGACCCTGATTCCTGGTCAGGGGGCACATGCCTGTGTTGTGGACCAGGACCTCTGTTGGGGGTGGGAGCCTGCAAGAGGCGAAGGATGTATGTTTCTCTTCCTCTCTTTTTCCTTCCCTTTCTCTCTCTCTCTCTAAAGCAATAAATAAATAAATAAGCAAGTAAAATCTTTTAAAAATTAAAAAGAAAAGACCACAAACTCAGATTTTTTGAAATAAGACTTTTACTGCTTACTAAAAGGAGTCTGCCCGAAAGAAGAAGTGTGGAAGCTGGGTTCCTTTTAGGATGGACCCCTAGACCTCTTCTTTACCTTTCCCGAGTTTGTTCTGTGATCCACAGAGGGAAGGAAGTCCGTGAACTGTCAGGTAAACATACTTATGGTATATAAATTTGAAAAGTGATTCAAGTGCATATTTTGTAAAGAGGGAAAGTATCTGTAAACATAAACATGCCTTTGAAAAGAAAAGAAGTCACAGTCCTTCAGAATTTTGAACTTTTAGGATATGTGAGATAAAGAGCTTTTTACTTGGAAGAGACTAGTTTACCTCATCACTCCCTTTGTGGATGCATGTGTACCTGTATATTCCTTAGACCACAATTACATAATTAGTTACCATCACTGCAAGAGAACTGGAAGGTGGTGAAGATTAAAGACCTCTTCTAGGCTTTCAGGGTTTTTATGAAGTAACTGCAATCTGCAGTTACAAATAGGCTCACTGCATTTTGCTAGCAGTTTTCATATGCTTGTGCCTTGTGTCCACAGGGCTGCAGCGGCTGCAGCGCCCCCCTACACAGGCATGGTCAAGTGCCTCCCAGCACACAATCCATCCAGATTGAAGATAGTTCTTTCTCCTGATTTTATTTATGTAGACCTAATCTCCCAGCTGGAATGGAGGCGTTAGCATGGAGTCCAGGGCCCTGAAATAGAAGCGGGTCCTGGACAAAGATAGAACTTTGAGCTCCAGGTGTTGGAGAAAACTGCTAATGAGTTGAAACCATCCTAGACTCAACCCCATAGTCCTCTGAACTGTTCATCATGACAGCGAGAAGGGCCGTGCGGCCATATGCAACTTTCATGGTTGCAATTGACATTGTCTACTAATAGTTTGAAACCAGGAGCCTGCCTATATTCTTACTTGTGACTCTGATTGGATGTGCTGAACCCTAGTTACATGGTTGTTTTGACAATGATTTCAAAACTTCAAGAGGCAATAACTTAGTCTGCTTCCGTAGATTTAAGTTATACATATCTCCTGATTCTTCTGTCTATTAATAGAAGTCCACAGCTGCCACCCTGGGGAATAAACTTATATTACGTGTAAATGTCTTTTTCCTAACTTGGTATGTTGAATTTGATGGGAGCCCAAGAAATGCAATTTTATTTTATTTTTTTATTTTTATCCTCACCAGAGGACATTTTTTATTGCTTTTTAGAGAGAGAGGAAGGGAGAGAGAAACATCAGTGTGAGAGAGAAGGATCAATTGCACATGCCTGGACTGGGGATCGTAGGCATCCTGACTGGGGCTTGAACCTACAACCTAGGTATGTGCCCTGACCAGGAATTGAACCTTTGACCTTTTGGTTACAGGACAATACTCCAACCAACCTGAGCCACACCAGCCAGGGCAAGAAATGCAATTTTTAAAAAGATTTTATTTATTTATTTTTAGAAAGGAAAGGGAGGGAGAAAGATAGAGAGAGAGAAACATCAATGTGTGGTTGCTGGGGGTCATGGCCCGCAACCCAGGCATGTACCCTGACTGGGAATCGAATCTGCGACACCTTGGTTCGCAGCCCGCACTCAATACACTGAGCTATGCCAGCCAGGGCTGAAATGCAATTTTAAAGACCTTGAAAGTTGGTGGGATCGCTCATTCTTCAATATTCTTGAAACCACTTAGCCCTTAAAAGATAATGAAGGCAGGAACTCAGACACGTGTTTGTATACCCATATGTGCAACAATGCTATTCATAGCAGCCTTATCACAGCAGCCAAAAAGGGGAAGCCGCCCAAGCTTCCATTGACAGATGAATGGGTAAACAGAATGTGGTACCCACACACAATGGAATATTTTTTAGTCATAAAAAAGAGGGAAATTCTGACACATGCTACAACATGGATGAACCTTGAGGACGTTATGCTGAGTTCAATAAGCCAATTACAAAAGGAAAAATACTATATGATTCCATTTGTACAAGATACCTGGTGTAGTCAAATTCACAGAAACACAAAATGGAGGGGTGGTTGCCAGGTGCTGGGGGAAGCAAAGACAGGGAGTTGTGTTCAACAGGGACAGGGTTTCAGTTTAGGAGACGGAAGAAGTTCTGGAGCTGGACAGTGGTAATGGCCATCCACCAGCGTGAATGTTGGCCGTCCATGTTAACACCACTGAACTGTGCACTTACAATGATTACAATGGTAAATGTTACCCACAATAAAAAATATTTCCTGAAAAAATTGTTTAAAATATACATTCCATACATCTTTACATGATTCCAAGCCTTGTTTTCTGGGTTCTGGTAGGGTCCTGTCTCTCCCAGCTCTAAGGCAGAGACCCCCTGAGGACAGGGTCTGTCTCCCCTCTCAGAGTTTGGGCACCCTGAGGTGAAAACCTGTGCCTCCCCTCTCAGACTTTAATTCTTATCCTGGGGAAGCTTGGAAAATACTGAAGAAGCAATTCATCTCCCCCCCACCCCCCCGTCCGGACCACACTGGGACTCATGTGTCAGGTGCTATTTCACTCTGACCCAGTAGAGACTAGGTAGGTCTGTGGTCCCAAGTCTCTTTGCTGAATCAGAAGGGCTTCCCTCCATCCCAGATGATTAACTGAAATTTGGCCTTGAATGTAATAGACCAAGTAATTATTTATATGTAAAGGTT